CATCCATCACCCTCACAGATATCACAAAATCCTCCTTCTTTTCCCTCATAAACCTTCTCTCTCCCTCACAAATGACCCTCTCACCAACACTCATAAATCTGCCGGTACCTCATATTTGTCTTCTCGGCCAGCATACTCCTCATGCTGTAGTCCCTCATACTATTATTTGTACTACGCATGATTCGTTAATGAGAGAGAGAGAGAGAGAGAGAGAGAGAGAGAGAGAGAGAGAGAGAGAGAGAGAGAGAGAGAGAGAGAGAGAGAGAGAGAGAGAGAGAGAGAGAGAAGAGAGAGAGAGAGAGAGAGAGAGTAAAGAAAAGCAATCAAGAGTAACAGATAAAGACAGATAAAAAAAAAAATCAATCTGCCTTGAAAGAAGTAAAAATGAAGAGAAAGGGATAGAAGAGAGAGGAGGGAAGGAAGGAGAGGGGAAGGGGAGGGAGAGGAAAGGGCGGTAGGGCCTTGAAACGGAGGGAGGAGGAGGAGGGGGAGGAGGGAGGAGGGAGGACGGATCAGCAAACACTCCGAGCAAGAAGGACACATGTCTGTCGTGAGAGAGTTGTCAACATGGTTAGTTAATAAACGCTGCGCAGTTGCCAAGTGTGAGATTATAACGGGCTGCATGTTGCGACTGCGGAAGCAACATGCAACATGCAATACAAGTGGACAGCAATAATGTTAATGCTAATGTCGACTGAAGTATCAGCGACTGGAGGCGGTAGTAAGGAGACACGTAAATTCTTAGGGTATTGTGACGACGTGGCAACTCGTAATTGTTTTTGGTATTGTTGCCACCACAATGATCATTATTATTGACGGTTATTATTTCTAATTAATGTTATTGTCGTTACTAAAGTGTGAGATCAGCATATTGTGATTTTTTGAATATAATTGAGATTTTAAAAATCGTTCATTATTAGTTATTAACTATTGTATACTACTATTAATGTTTTTATTGATTTTGCTATATTTATTTTCATCATTGTCATCATTATCATTATCATCAACAACAATATTGATATGATATTATATTACCAACATCATTTTATTTTCCTTATTTTCATTATTTCTATTTCATTATCATTATCTTTTTATTTTTTTTTTATTATTTTATTGCCTTTCCCTTTCATTATCATTTTTTCCCTTTTCCCTTTTCGTCTCTGTCACTTACTCCAGAATCTTCCTTAACTTTTACTCTTCTCCTCCCACTTTAATCCTTATTTCTTCTCCCTCCCACTTCCCTCTTCCTCCTCCTCATATTCCCCCACCTCCTTTACTTCCTTATCTCTCTTCCTTTCTCATCCATGCCCCTTTTTTATCTGATCTCCTTCTCCCTTCCCTTTATTAATCTCCTTTTCCTCCTTCTCTTCTCCCCCTTTCCTCATCTCTTTCTTCTGTTCTCTTCTAATCACTTTCTCCCGCTTCTTCCTTTCTTCGCTTCCCCTTTCCATCCAACAATCCTTGCAAACTAATCCGTATTGTTGTTATTTTTCTAATAATGATAAATATGATGATGAATGTTATCATTATTTCTGTTATCAATAACGCTTATCACTATCATTGTTTTTTGTTTATGTTCTTATCTTTTATAATCATTATTACTATTATAATTGCTTTTATCAATATCATTATTTACCGTTACTATAATCATCACTATCACTGTTATTACTTTTATCATCATCTTCATAATAATAACTTTTACTATTCTTATTGTTACAGTTGCTTTTGTTATCATCATTATTACGTTTATTATCCGTTGCATCATCAGCATTATTATCATTATCATTAACATTCTCATTATCATGCTTATCATCACTATTATATTTATTATCATTATTATATTTATTAATTCCATTACGATTAATATACTTATTATGATTATTATTATCATCTTTATCATGTCTACCACCTCAACATCATTAAGATAATAGTCTTTATAATTATTGTCATTATTATCATAATCATTAATATAATCATTATTGATACTGATATCATAACTATGATTATCATTACTTTTATTATCATCATTATTATCATCATCATTATTGTTATTATCATTATTATCATTATTACTATTATTCTCATTATTATGTTTATATTCATTATCATTATTATTTTCATCATCGTCATCATCATGCACAATCATCATTGTTGTTTCTGTCATCATTATCATTATTTTCATCATTGTTGATATTTGTAATAACAGTATCATTATTCTTATTACCATCATAATAATTATTATTATTTCTATTATAACGACTACTTTTATCCTCATCATTTTTCGCCATTTCCATATTATTTTATTTCATTTCCATATTATTTTATTTCATTTCCATATCATTTTCCCAACTTCTCTATTCCTCTTCCAATTTTTCCACGTCTCCCATATCCACCCTTCACATCCGGTAGACTCTACCTTTCTCCTTTCTTTACCGTCTTCGCGACTTATTTACTCCTGACTTATTTACTGATTTACTCCTTCGCCAAACGTCTTCTCACAGGATGGCGCTGAAGTGAAAATATTTGTCGATCTAGTGTTGTTCTCCTCTGCTTCGCTATAGGTCGCCTGCGTCTGTGAACATCCTCGTGGGTTTCTTCAGATTCTCGACCTCCTTAAAGGGGGATTCAAGTATATTCTGAGATCCTCTTCTTCGGCTTTGATTCCCTTTGTTTGGCGTTCATTTATTCAATCGAGTGTGTTGTTTTGGTTTTGTTGTTGGTGGCTGCCTCGCCGATACGTGTATCTATTTTTTTTATGTAAATATTGTGTATATTCATCAGAACAGGCTCAAATTTTCTAAATGAGTTAAATTGTCAAAATAAGTTATCTTAGTTAAAATAAGTTAAAACAATTTTGTTGTTATTGTCTTTCATGTTGTTGTTTCATTAGTTCTATCGATCTTATTTTTCTAATAATGATAATTATGATGATGAATATTATCATTATTTCTATATTGATAATGATTGTCTGTATCACTGTTTTTGTTAACGTTCTTATCATCAGTATCATAATCGTTATTACTATTACAATTGCTTTTATCGATATCACTATTAATGGTTACTATAATGATCATTATCACTGTTATTACTATTATCATTATCATCATCGTTTGTATCATAACAATTACAGCTTTCTTCATTATCATAACGGCTATCATTACTTTTACTATTCTCATCCTTATCATTTCCTGTTATTAATGGCAACACTGTGAAAGCAAGAGCATACGTTCCTGTTTGTATTTGTGTTTGTGTGTGTGTTTGTTAATGATCATTATCACTGTCATTACTATTATCATTATCATCATCGTTTGTATCATAACAATTACAGTTTTCTTCCTAACATTATTAGTCTCATAATCTTCATTATCATAACGGTTATTATTACTTTTACTATTCTTATCCTTATCATTTCCTGTTATTAATGGCAACACTGTGAAAGCAAGAGCATACGTTCCTGTTTGCAATTGTGTTTGTGTGTGTACGTTTGTTAATGTAAGTGTAACCATGTGAAGACAAGCGTTGTGTATATCGGATTCTGAAATAAACCAATGGGATTATTTTAATCTATTTTATATCCAGTTTCTTTAGGTTGATTATTATCAGTCAAGTTTTTTTATTTCTTCTGTTCTCTACTGTTTGTTTGTTAAAAAAATATTCTTTTAGAATTTTGCCTCTCACTTACAGTCGAAAATCCAAGTTACAGAAACTCTATAAATTCCTCATCACCATACAACACACATTTGGAAATTAACACTACAATTTTTTTCAGCTCATTTGAAAAGGCTGATGCAGTGTTGATAAAAATGCTTTGCTGTTGAAGATCTAACTTACCGGATGCGAAATCCTTGTTTGGCAAGTTGCAAAGTTTGAGTGATTGCAGCAAGAAACTTTGAAATTACTATGTCTGCAATCTTATCCCTTCCTTCCCTTCGCCAAGTTGCCAATCTCCTCTTTTTANATTTCCCTCTCCACAGACGCAATACATAACTATTTATCCCTCCTAATTCATTCTTTAACTTCTCAACGTTATTTATTATCATTCACCACATTTCATTGCATATTTTTATAAACTATATAAAATATCCAGGATTTCCCCTATTAGGATTTGAATCTGTGTTACTTTATCCAATATCCAGAATTTCCACTATTAGGCACAGAATCTGTGCTACTTACAAAGATGAAAAATACTGATACATTCGGATAACAAACACTGGGAATAATAAACTGCCTCATACCTAAAACCAACTCATAAAACCTTTCCAGTATAAATCTTACCATTTTAGTATTTTATCTTTATCTACTCATATATATCCAAATTCCTTTCATTTCTCTCTTTCCATAGCCTCCCTTAGACCACACATGCAAACAGCACCCAGAAGACGTTGCCCATTTCAGAGGCAAAGCCATCATCGTATACCTTGGGGTGTTGGTGTTTTGCAGGTTTGTCCATCCACAACCACCAGGTAGACAGACGTATCTGGTGATTTCACTCTACCACAGACAGATACTACTTTGGTTTGTTCTTTAATTCTGCCTGAACAATGGGCATTAAGCGTGTCCATCTTGCAATGCCCAACCATGCGGATAGGGCATTTGAAGTTATCATTTAATTTTTTTTATATATATAATTTTTATAATTTCATATTACTGTACTACTATTGCATTTCAGTTTTAATCATTATTTCAAAGAAATATACCTTCTCATACTTCCTTTTGTATTATTGGCATTATAAATTTGCTATTAACATTTTTAACACTAACCATCTGACACTAATTATTGCATCATTACATATTTCTCAAAGAAAATATGTGTACCCAATGAACATAATCTATAAGAATTTTTCACTTTTCTCCTTTATTCTGTATATATTACTGCACATAAATATACAGATACATTGTACTTACGTCAAGAAGGAAAATATTATATATTTGGAAAAAAGTTGAATAAACATTTTGTCACAAAAAACTTTTTGGATGTACAAGTAAGGATATTCAAAGACTTTTGCATTTACCGTTTTATGTGCAAGTTATACAAGTGTCCATGCTATACCCTGTCTTCTTATCCTCGTATCATTAGTATCATAAAGGCATTGTAACGGTGACAGTACAAAATAAAGATCAATCATCTCTGTAAAACATATCTGTATGTGATTTGTTCTTCACTTTAGCTTTAAATACTTGTATTAGTTAAGTTATTTTAATATCACATACCAAGTATATATTCTAAGAGTGCATGGCTATCTTCTGAAAAGTAAAAGAGGATTATGACTGTCTTTCTCTTCTGTTTTCTTCTTTTTTTCTATATCTGTAATATATTCATAGCTATTTGTAATCTGCAGATGTTTGTAGCTATATAGTGTACTATGGAATGCATATCAGAACGGAAAAACAAACGCTTCTTTAACTAGCACGAAGCTAAAAGCAAACTCAAAACCTTCCAAGAGGGGTTAACACCATAAAAATCTTTACAAATAACCTTTACCATCAGGAATGTAAATATCTCAAGCACGCTTTTTCTCTCCTTGAGCAACCCCTCACAGACTGACCACAACGATCAAGATTCCTTCTCAATGTTATCAATTTTTGACTTGATTTTAGCCAGGCGCTTGTACTCATTACACACTGCTTTTAACTGTCCTAATAAAGTGGCACACTTTGCACTTATTTGAATCGCTGTCTTGAAATCCGTCTGTGCTTGTTTGAGAGTCTGTGGTGGCAAAACTGAAAACCATCTGATAGGATCTCTGTTAATGACTTTCTTTTTATTTTGATCTGCACTGTACTGTTCTCTGTCATCCTCTTCTCTGTCTTCCGGCGGTTCTCCCTGTAAATTGGAGATCCTCTGCCGTAACCCTTCTACAGGATCATCTTCCTGGGTATACATGTCGGACAAGCTGTCTTCTTCCACCTCAACAGGGAGAGACACAACAGGATCTGCAAATTCCGTGTTCATCTCCTGGTAGATAACCTCCCCGTCGTATCTTTCAATCCTGACTGGCGTCGAGACGACTGAAACGAGGGGATCTACTTCTCTCTCCTCTGACGGCAACTGCAAGGTACTGATGGCATTGCAACCCAGGACGTAGCGAGTTTTGCCCAGCAAGAAGAAGCCACTTCGCATATGCTCTTCTAAGATCATCTTCGTCTGAAAGAAGAAAAACGAAATCAAATATAATGCTGGCATGAAGTTCCATAAAGAAATAAACTTGGACAGAATAAAATAACAAGAGGGAAGCTCGTTTAAGACAGTTTGTATAAGCGAACACGTCAAGTTAGCCAACCAACAGCCATTCCCTGACACAGCCCTCTACACCAGAACAGTACTTTCTAACTTCCACTCATTTAGCATCAAACCTCAAATCTACAGAGCAAGACTGAGCTAACGTGAGAATTAACTGTCCATCCTAATAATGACATGGCAAACGACGCTGCGACATTTTATGGAACTAAATACCTTATGCTGTTAATTGGTATCTAAATTCTCACTGTTCCTTGGTACCTCATATCTCCATATTCATGACTTTCTTATTTTCTTCTAGTCAAGAATAGTTTCCCACACATCTTCCTCACATTCATATTAATCAATCATTAATTGTCAATATCTTTAAATAATGACAAACATCATCACTGTTGTCTTCCCTTTGAATCCATCTGCATCACTGTAATCACATGGACCAAAATACAGGCCTTCAGCTCATGTGAGAAGCATGTTAGCATCATCCGCCACTCAAGCAAAATTTTTTCATGACATGACAGTCACATCATCCGGATCGAATGGGTTAATAATCATCATTATCACCATCACCACCATCATCATCACCATCACCACCATCATCATCACCATCACCATCACCACCATTGCCCATTTTAGGACAAAGGATCTTCCAAGCAGCATAGGTTTGGTCTGGCCATCTCACAGCCCTATTCTACGCTGATCAATCATGGAGATCGACAATTATTTCATCTCTTTATCTTCAGTCTCTTCTCAGATCTTCTTAGTTCTAAATGGTCCCTTCTTATTTGCAAATTGAATAACACTGACTCGGACTTGTTTTGTGTTACTATCATCTCAACATTGCATCTCAAGAGTCAACTATCCTCAGTTTTTGGGTAAGACCATCCAAAGTGAACTGATAATGGGGAAGGAAGGGGGATGATGCAAATGAAGCAGGAAGGAATGGGATGCATTGGGAGGGAGAAGGAAGGGTGTAGGGGGAACACGAGTAGGCGGAGGATGGATGTCCGCAGTTACTCTAAGTATAAAAAGAATGGAAGCTGAGAGATTGGAGGACAGATGAGGTGTAGGCATGTTATCATTGGTTATGATTAGATAGTTCTGAACGTCTTCCAGATTTTTTGAGGTGGAGTTGGTTGGGGAGGTTGTCTTATTTGGGGAGAAGAGGGGACAAATGTTTGAGGGGTGGAGGGAGAGGGTGATGGAGGAGAGGATGGGTAGGCGATGGGATGGTGTGTTTAACTTGTCTTGTGCGATGAGTTGGGCAAGGAGGAAGAGGGAGGCTAAAGGAAATAGTGATTGGAGGGGCTGGAATAGTGGTAGAGATTGGGTGGTCAGATTCTTGAATGGCAAAAGAATCTGCTTTGGATAGGAAAAGGGTTGACGTAAGGATGAGGAAGACATACAGGGGGTGATGTAGAGACATTTTAGGAGGAAAGGTGAGGGGCTGAGCATAGGACACAATTGCAATAACGAGTGAGAGAAAAACCTCATTTACGTGCTTCCTGTCTAGCTTCACAGAAAGTGAAGCCAAGTTAGAATTTGAGAACTGCCACTTTAGACTCAATCCTGTAGGTAGGGCAGCCCTTATAAAATACATTATGGGAGCCAACACAATTGGCACACATGCTGAATAGAGCAATTTCAACAGTCAAGACCAGGTTGGGCAAGTAAAAGGCAGCAATCTGTGGAATGACAATGTTTGGCTGGGTGGCTAAACCAACATTTCTGACATTGACAGGGAAAGGGTATTATGGTCAGCAGGGCAGGACACACCACCAATATAAACTTTATGAATATCATGTCTACTGCAGCTAATTTTAATAATATTGGTGGATTTTCCCTGGCCTCTGGGATGAATAATATAACCCTGTAGCTTTCACAGTATGACTTGTCATTGTCACAGACAAGAAACTTAGTCAGAGAGACAAAAATAGTTCCACTACAAGTTTTAAGAGAGGAGTGAGGCTCAGCAGGAATAGATCTGAATGGGGTCAGCTGACCTGTCTAGTACATGAGTTTGGGACTCAGATGTAACTGGGACAAGGTGTTCACGACTGGAATGACTGCGAAAGGATACACTGGCTACTTGTTTTTGGAGACATTGTTAGAAGAGAGAAACATTGTCGGAGTAAGAGGCTGAAAGGGGACTCCCAAAGAATCGAGGTAGAAGGCGTAGAAGGGCAAGGGCGGGAGGGAGATGGGGTGGCGTGGAGCTGTGCCAGCCATTCCCACACCCCTACTATGCATACTTTCCATAAAACTTCTCTGGAGACTTGGTCAAAAGCCTTTACAAGGTCACTGAATCCAAAATATACCTGCTTACTGGGATTAAAATGACATATTTATCTACAATCATTAATTCTAAAATGCTAATGTAATTCTAAAATATTTCAAATAAACAAGTATTTTATTTTCAATAATTAGCAATCCAAGTCCTTCCAGAAAGAAAAAAATTAATATTCCATACGAGTAAGTATCTACACATAATGATCCGGATTTTAGAACTCAATCCAAGCCAAAAGTACTAAGTTCCTCTGACACAGATAGTACCAGAGCAATAGAAAATTCAAACATCCACAAAAGCAAAAATATGATATTCATAAGCATAACACTCATCCAAACCAAAGTATTCATCCGAAACATAACATTCATCAAATACAGAGCATTCACTAAATGCCTGTGCAAGATATAAATACAAATATATCAATATCCGTCGGCAATCTTAGTAAGAAAAATATATACAAAGAATACCAAGTTTGGCAGGGGAATGCTTATAACTATAGGTTAAGTTAATTAATAATAATCATAGCATCCATTTCAAGTCTCAAAGTTATTAACATTAACATATTAACATTACAGATAAACCACTTGTAATTAAGAAGACTCCTCTAAAATACTATTCCTGAAAAGGTAAAATGAAACTCATAAACATTATACACAGAGATACAATGAGTCATGATATACATTATAACAACCACTTTCATAATTCACAAATACTGTCATAAAACAAACATTCGAAGTCTAGTTTCATAAACAATTTCTACATACTCTCCTACTCCCCTAACTCCCCTCTTTCTTTCAAACTAATTTCTAAAATAAGAAATAAAATGCAACACTTCAGCAATGACACACCTGAAATAAGGAAAAGTCAGAGAAAGATACCGGAGATTACCATGATACAGTACACAAGAGGCTACCCACAAAAGTCTCCTGAATACTGTAATAATTCTTTAAAAATGTATATCTATAAGCCAGATAGAGTTTTGTATTAAATAGATTGAAATACTAACAATGGTTTATAGGGGCGTTTAAAAATATACTACTACCCTTGACTTTCCCTACTGCTATATTTCTGTGCTTATTATGTGACACCCAAAGAGTAGAAAGGTATGAATGAGAAAGAAATATCTTCCTCAGAAATACATGTATTTCTGACAAAGATATATTCAATCCGGTTAAATACATTTGTAGTATTGTGAAGCTATTCATCCTCATTCATACCTTTCTACATTTGTCAACAAAAATACAGTTCAGACACCAGAGGTAGGAGGCAGGCCACTAAAAGGATGCTTGGAGTTGACTGCAATCGAAGTTCACCAATTCATATCATACCAAGTTTTGAGATGTCATGTGCACATTTATACTCCATAATCTACATATAATCCACATACAGCCTAGCATATTTCCAACTTCAGATATCTAGAAAAAAAAAAATTCATGCATGTCATTTTGGGAGAAAAACTAAATACGGTCATTCTTGCAACTGAACCTTCAACCTCCGGGAAAGACCACATACCTGCAAAAATGAGAAGTCAGAAAGGAAATGAAGCAATATCAAAAAGGGATTCTCAACGATAGGAGTGTATGACCTCCAGACTAAAACCAACACGTAATAAAATATCAACTACTCTTTTTTCGTTCCACTGACAGGGCCAACAATTTCATTCATTAGAAAGGAAAAAACACGTATCCTGTGTTGTTGTCTTCACAACTGTCCAGACAATTAATTCAGAGCCGCCAAGAAAATGGCATATTCACTGTAGTATTGCTTTGTGAAACGTATCTACACGAGGAGGCAATCATCTAATATACTCTCCTTCCTTGATTTCACCTTTCCTGGAGTTTTCAGGGGAAAAAATGTGATTTTAAAATTGATGATGTTATCATTATTGTCAATGCAATGATCACAGTTTTATTAACAATCAAATCAAAGAAAAGACTAAAAGTGCTAAATGGGAAGGATTAGTAATTGACTCTTTGATGGCTAAGCACTTATGGAGCTATCTATATGTAACTACAATTGATAAACTAAACCCACTGTGGACATGGCATGTAAGTACATGTCATCCCTGGCAGCATTGGGTCAATTAATTAGAGACCATTTCTAAGGAAAACAGACAACAGTTCATATTCACAAGAAGTTAACATTAATAATGGCAAAGGCTTTGTCGGCTGCATGCAACAAATAACTGTACAAACTTAAAATTTAAAAAAAAAAAAAAAATCCTTTTCAAGAGCCCAACTCTGTGGACAATTCAGCTTCAAAGTCATTCACATTGTCTATTCAACTTAATGTACTGACTATGGCACCTCTTGTCTCTTCACCCTCTTGAGGTAATGAAGTGTACCTTAAAATATGTGGGCAATATAATGTAATGACTAATCGGTCTTGATTCATTAGTATCAGCTTCAGGTTAAGTAAATGCATCCTGAAAATGACCTGAGTCCATCAAAAATAAAAAAAATAATAAAAAAATGCTTTTGCTCTATCTAAAACACTACATCAGTGTTAAATCAGTGCAACCTGAAACTAATACAAGTGTAACACAAGGTTCTTATCAACTTTAATTTTCTAAAGTCATAAATCCACCTGTAAATAAAATGATAGGAAATCTTTAATTCAGTTTTTTCTTGCAAAAGTACATACACATAAAAATGAAAAGGAATCACAATAGAATTTACAAAAATCGTAACATGGACCAACAGTTATTGGCCCTACATTCAACAGCACAAAATGGAAGGGTCTACACGTCAAAATTTCTTACCAGATTTTTCCTCCAGTACGAGGCCATTCCTCCATCCAAGGAGGTTCCAAAATACCCTCTCCTTCTAAACCTCCTGCTCATACCAGCTGCTTGGCCAGACATCGCCCTTCACCTTCTTCTTTTAATCAGTCACCACTTCAACCTATACATGCATTCACTGAGCATCCAGGCATTACCGCACTTGTACATTCGAGCTAACATCTTGATCAAAGCCATAGGTACTTATAT